AAAAGGACCAAAACTACTATACATTACATTACAATAGTAGAAATAACCCCCTTTTCTTTTATCAATCAATATAGGAAATAAGTAAAAATAATTTGAGCTAAACATGATATGTAATGGAAAAGGTTATAGTTCAACCATCATCAATTATATTTACAAAATAAATTCAATGTTTACTTGTATTGATTCACCCATAAATGTTGAGCTTGTGAATTGTGATCTTAATGGATTCATGCTCTGCAAAAAGTAAGTCGTACAACATACTCATTTTATCCAACGACGTTAGACTAACTACTAAATAAAGACAAGTAGACAACCTTAATATTTTCCCTTTTTGTCTCTTTTAATAAAATTAATATGGAGTATATATATATATATATATGGTCTCTAGATCGATACAAAAGTTAAAAATGAATCACTTTACACAATTCACCCTTGAAATTAAGAGTTATCCCTTTTATAATTATTAATTAAATTACATTACATGCATTATGAATTTTTAAAAAATTAAAAAAAAAAAATTGTGATGGAAAATGTGATAGATAGTGATATAAAAAAGCATCCTACTTTTAATAAACTCTTATTAACTCAAATTTTAATCATCAGCGTCATGACTAATTAAGTAATTTTATCTTATTATTACTTATTGGATTAGGAAAAATTGTCCGGAAAAATCTCACATTTGGGGCATCCGCCCAAAATAATCCTACCTTTGGATTATTTTTTAATAATTCGACCTTTATATTCAATCCGCTCAAAATGGTCCCAGGTGATCAGTAATCGGTTGAAGAGGTAATTTTTTTTTTATTAAGTTTAATATACACGTGTCATAACTTGATTCGTCCAAAATAAAAAAAAATTAATAATTAAAAAAGTAAAAGTATATACAAAAATAAAAACTAAAAAAAAAAAAAAAACCACCTAAGCCACACCACAACCACCACCACCCAAACCTAGACCCTAGAACTACCACCCCACCCAGACCGGAAACCGCCGCCGCCTAGAAACTGACTGATATCCCAACCCAACCCCAAAACCCTTTCAAAAATCGAAACCCACCACACTAGATAAATTGAGGTCGCGCGGCCTGAATTGAGGTTGGGGAGGACGGCACGGCCGTAAAAGGGGCAGGGAACGGGGGCGTGGCCGTAAAGACGGGGAACGGGGAGGAGGCTGGGATCGTGATAGGATCAGGGGACGGAAAAAGAACAGGGGAAGGGGAGGGGCCAGGAAAGGGACAGGGGAAGTGATGGTTGGGATTGGGATTGGGATTGGGATGGGGAAGGGATTTAGAGGCTGGTTGGTGGTTCAGAGGGAAGGGTTTGGGCGCGGCGTCGTCGCCGGCGTAGGCTCCGTCACTGCTGTTGGGGACCTGGGTGGTGGGATCCGCGGGGCTGGGGAGTCAGGCAGCGAGGGTGGCTAGGGCAGCCGCCAGCAGGTGGGGGTGGTTTTTATATAATTAATTTTTTTTTTAAAAAAAAATTAATAAATTTTGTTTTATTTTATTTTTATTTTTGGGACCAATCACAGGCCGCCACATGTCAGATAACTTGTTATTACAAGTTACATGACCGGTTGGAACCATTATGAGCGGATTGAGTATAAAGGTCGGATTATTTAAAAATAATCAATAGGTGGGATTAATTTGAGCGGATGAGCCAAAGGTCGGATTATTGCGGGCAATTTTTCCATTGGATTATTGCTATTGGAATATAGTTTTAACTCAAAAATATATGCAAGGGCCTTGGCTTGTACGTTCACAACCGAAAGTAACACTATTGGATAGCTAACAAGGCAATAGTAAATAATTAGAAGTTATAATTGATTAATTAGTGGTTAAAATGTAACACTATTGGATATTGAAACATTCTTGCTAACACTTATATTTGTACTCCAAACTTTTACAATGGTGTTAACAGATTATTGTGATTTGTGATCTCAACTTCTTTTCTTTTTCACTCTTCACGTATATGACTATCAATCTCCTTTCTTTCTTTCACTCTCATTCTCTGTCTCTCATCTACAATCTTTTATTATTATTACTACCTCCGTTAAATATTTTGTGCAACTTTGTGCGTGGTATTATTTGTAAGGTATAAAATATTCCAAAGTTGCTCAAAACATTTAACGGATGTAGTGTATTTATTGGAATAATAAATATTAATCTCTCCGTTTCAAATTTTTTGTAACAATTAAACATTAAATACTTACACTTTATGTCAAATTGTTGCAAAAACAATGAAACAGAGTAGTAAAAATAAATAAATAAATAAATAAATAAATAAATAAATAAAATTGCCCCCTACAAATGTCTCACGATGATACGAGTATAAAGTAGGACTTCCTCAAGAATTCGTATGGCCTATAGCCAACTAGCCAAGTCTATAATCTGATGTTCATCAAAGCAAATCTCAAAATAAAGGGGATGAATTCATTCATACAACTGGATATAGCCTTACAAAGTATGGGAGAGACCATAGTCCACAATACAAATAAATGCATGAATCAAATATCTAGAAAACGAACACAAAAACTACTCGTAAAATAGTTTGAAACAGGCTCATGGGCAATCCTAACTCTTATACCCTAATATAAATAAAGTTATTTATGGAATTATGGTTCATTGATAAAAAGTAAAAGTTACCCAAAAAAGTGTAAATGTTACCCTAAATTCAACAAAAGTTACCTCGATGTACAGTAATATTACTATACATCAAATGTATACATAGTAAAAGTTTTGAACAAAATAATACCAAATTGTATTTGATATGATAACACCATAAAACTTAATTATACATGTATAGATTCTCACCAAAGCATACATACATACATACATCATACACATATATACATACATACATACCAAGCAAAGTTTGGTCTAGTAGGAAAATTTGCATCTCACAAGTCATAACCAAGAGGTTGTGGGATCAAACTCCTCAAGAGGCACCGTGGGATGGGGATTCTCTTATCCATCCTTTCTAAAGTGTCTAACCCGCTAACTTGTGTCGGAAGGATTTATGAGAGGTTCCGGTCCGATAGAACCCTTCTCCTTACCAACCAAAAAAATATAAAAAATAAAAATACATACGTATATATTCAGACACTCACATTGGGTCATTGGACATCCTTAGCAATATTCTTGAAGAAATAAACTAATTATAGTGTTTATGAACAACATAAATGATTAATGTACTTTTAAATAATAACGTTTATATCCCGTTCAAAAATAAATAAATAAAAATTAACGTTATATAGTCCGGGTGTTTATATTTGTGGCACTCTTTTCTTTCTTGCTATGGATGAGTAGAGCACTAAAAATTATGATCTCGCAATGAAAGTATCAATACATAGCTTTGTACTTTTGAGTTTCTAGACAGAGTAAAGCAGAACAAATTTTAGAAGAGATAGTTTCTCTAAAGAACAGCGCCAAACTCTCACAATAACGTAGTGCTCTTTGAAATCTTGGCTTTACTTAGCTTTTGCCTGCGTAGACGTGCAAGCCGTGGATATGATAAAATTATCACTTTATCATTTGACTTATTTTATTTTACTGTATTTTTTTCAATGCCATATATTACTTGTAGTACTGTACAAAATTTTCAATAAAGGCATGGTTATGAATTAATATACATAAAACTGAGTAATTAATCAACTGCACATCTACCAAAGTAAATTAAATCTCACCCCCCTTGTTTTTTAGGGAAAATTAAATCTCACCCTGCCATAAAGATACTACGTAGTATTTTTTTAGTGCATATATGCATGAATATTTTTCTATTTTCTTTAAAATACTAGAGGAATTGATACCTATTTTGATACAGAGTATAATAAACAAACAATTACGCTAGGTCATAATTGGGACAACTGTAATTAGAAACTCTCTAATTATAACTTATAAATGATTATATATAGGTGAGTTAGAATAAGCTAATGTTTTCTCGCCTTAAATAAGGTATCTCAATCTTAATTTTTTGACAAACATTAAAAAAAATCAGATATATAATAATATATTGCACATTCTCTTTAAAAATCCGATATTACTGTACATCGAATGTAGACAAAAGTTTTTGTAATTTTTTACAATATGATATAATTTTTAATTTGTTTTAAAACCCAACTAGTCTAATTTGATCAACTAACTTTACATAGGATTCAATTTGCTTGCTTAATTTTATTTATTTATTTAATTTTAAAAACAAGTCAAAAGTGAGGTCTTATTAGACTCATCTACATGTGAAATTTACAAATATATATTTTTAATTATGCGATTAAAGATATTCAATTGACAATTACAGTTGACGATAGTAAGATTCGGTCCACTCCAACCTTGTATAGATTTTATAGTTAAAATAAGCTAACAAATCTCTAAAATATAGTGAATAGAACATTATTTCAATCTAATCCAAGCGACAATACAACACGGTCTAATATATTATGATTAAAGATATCGTAAGTAAAAATATACTCCGAGGTGTACCAAGGGGACTTTACTATTTAAATGTGTTTCTTTCACCATTCGCCACGAAAAGAAAACTATTGCATTTGTTAAAAAAAAAATTGAACGAGTATTACTTGATGACTTGATGTAGACTTATTTTGATGTATGACGGACTTGTTCTTTCACCTGGGTAAAAATGTACAACCTAAAACCATTTTTACTCATTTGTGAGAGTTAAAATTGAACGCTTAATGTATTTCAAAGTTGAAAAAACAATCTCGTAATGAAAAAAAACGTATAAGCAACCATTACTTCAAATTTTCAAAATATAACGAGTAATAAAACTTCGTAATCGGATAAATCATCACACCAAAAGATCAAAACTCACGTGACCTAGGCTTGGATAGTTACTTGTTTTGGACGTTTATTAAAACTAATACTCCCATTATCTGAAATAAAAATCCAAAGTGTGTAAAAAAACAAAAAAATAATCCAAAATATGTAAAAAAACAAAATGAATTCTCAGCATATTTATTAAAGATGATAAAAAAACAGACACAAGAAGAAAATTGTTCTTCACTCTTCACCACTCACCAGTAAAAAAATCTGTAAAAAGGCAATTACTGTTACTATTACTACTACAGAGTACTGAGTAAAGTTACTACTGTACTAAACATTTTATAAAATTGAGCGGCAAATAGATTCTGGGTAAGTTTATGCCTCCTTTTTTTTAGCAGATCTACATAATATTTTTCTCATTTTTTCACCCAAAAAATACTCATTTAATTCATCCCCAGAAAAAAAAATTTAAAAATTTAAGTGAGAGAAAGCAGAAAACCATAGCCTAAAACACAGCTTAAGCTAATCCCGAGTCATTAATATTGTAGTAGTAATTAGTTAGAGAGAGAAAAAAACTTTTTGCCATTTTTAGTTTTTTAACTGGAAAAAGCTCAAAACTTTCACATTATCTGCAAAATTTAACATCTGGGTTTTGTTAATTCCTGTTAATTTTTACTTGGGTATTTTTTTAATTTTTAATTTTACTGAAAAAAACTACATTTTTTTCCCATAATTTTTGCAGATCGACCTCCCTTCCACCCTTTTTTCTCTCTCTAGTATTATCTTGGTTGTTTGGATAGCGCGTATAAAAAATTTCTGGATTCACACAACACAGTATATAATAAAACAGAGAGAGAGAGAAAGAAAGAAAGAGGAGAGAGAAAAAGAGGTGAAATAATTTATTTGAAAATTGAGCATTAAATACACAGCATCTACTGCTATTACACTACATTAGTAATTGCAGAGGTGATAGGAAAGTGAGTAATAAAAACTTTCATTTGTTTTGTTTAAGTATAATGTTTCAATCAGTACTACAACAAGTATATTATAACGACTTCATTTAAACAAAATCTTTGATTTTCCTGATTTTCTTGGTTTTCTGGGTTTATAAGATTGTATAGAGGAAGTAAGAGAGAGATTGAAGAAGAAAAATTCCCAAATTTTGAATCTTTATATTTTTTTAGTGTTGTGAAACTTTTCTGGGGTTTCTTTTTTTTTTTGCTCAATCTCAGTGGTTCAAAGTTCGAACTTCAAAATCTCAGGTATTTTTCTTTTTTATTTTACATAATCTGTCTTTTTATGTTTAGACTTTAGTATTGTAGGAATAATATTAAGTTGATCTTGTTTGATTTTGTATTTTTTCAGTTTGAAATTATCTGGGGTTTTTTGTTCTCTATTTATAATTAGTATGTTTAATACAGAAGGATTGAATTTCAATTTCATAAACTATTATTTTAGCTGATTAGTGGGTTAATCATAATGGGTTTTTTTTTTTTTTTTTTTTTTTATTATGTATCTGTAAATTAATTTAATTTTGCTGGGTTCATTTCAAATTTTCAATCAGTTTAATTTTTGGTTTGATCTTAGTTTTGTTAAAAGTTGTAGAGTGATTAAAGGAATGTGAGTGACTGAACTAAAATACACTGTCGGTGAAACTTATTGTTTAAGCTTATAATTTGAAGTTATATAAATCATTTACAATTATACTGTTTTATTTCTAATAAGCATCCGAATCTGGATTCCACCTTGTATTGTCGTCGAAAAAGAAGATTTTTTTGACTTTGGGTGTTTAATATCTATATTTATGTCTTTTAATATGCTTCAAATGAATGATGTTGTTTAGTTGGATCTGATATTTCAATATTGTTGCCATGCTTTGTTGCCAGTTGCCACCCTCAGGGATGCATCTTGTAATAGGTGTTAGAATTCACGGTGATGCAATGGCGATGTAGTAGACTTGATTATACAAAGATACTTGTAGATTTTATTCAGCAGTTGTATTGAAATACAAAAGGTTGCGTTTGTAGGATTCGCGGTAGTATAAAATGTCAAGGCCTCTCCAAAGAGGCATATCTGGTGAGCAACGGCGTCTTTCTGTTGGTAGCAATCATGCTTCTTGGGATTCCCAGGACTCTCAAATGAAAGAAAAAACAGAAAAGGATGATACTCGAGCTGGTCGTTCGTTGTCTGACCAAAGCTATTCTTCAGTAAAGTTACCCTTTCGATTAAATTCTTCAGATAATGCCCCATCAAAGTTGGGTGTTAATGAAAATGGTTTTACAACAGAATTGTTTAGTGGTGGAAGTCCAAGAAGTCGGCATAAGCTAACTTTGCTTCTTCTTAGAACCAGTTTAGTTCTTATAGTGATTCTTGCTTTAACCGGGTCATTTTGGTGGACAATATCAATTACTGCATCATCAAGAGGTCACATTTACCATAGTTATAGGAGGATGCAAGAGCAGCTCGTCTCAGATCTTACAGCCATCAGTGATCTATCTCAAGGGCCAGCAAAATTGAGAGAATTGGATTTCTGTTCTAAGAAAGATGAAAATTTTGTGCCTTGCTACAATGTGTCAGAAAGCTCGGCTTTAGGTTATGCTGATGGCGATGAATTTGATCGTCTTTGTGAGCACAGCTTGAAGCAAAATTGCTTGGTTTTACCTCCTGTGAATTACAAGATTCCTCTGAGATGGCCTACTGGAAGAGATGTCATTTGGGTTGCAAATGTTAAGATTTCTGCTCAAGAAGTACTTTCTTCTGGAAGTTTGACCAAAAGGTGAACTGAAACCACCCCTTTCACTAGTCTGGGACGGAGAGTTCAATTTGTGATTTCTGCTTCATTGTTGTTAATCCTTCTGGCTTTAATTACAGGATGATGATGTTAGAGGAAGAACAAATTTCTTTCCGCTCTGACTCACTCACGTCAGATAACATTGAGGACTACTCACATCAAATTGCTGAAATGATTGGGCTAAGAAGTTCTTCCAATTTTAAACAAGCTGGGGTATGTTGTAATCTTCTTTGTTAATGAAATCAGACTTCTATAGTTCCCTGTCCTTGCAATTGGTAATGTTTTTCGTTAATGTAAATCATACATGTGTATCCCCTGCCCTTGCAATTAATACTGCCTGGCCTCTAGATAGAGCTCTTTCCTTGGGAAGGTTGTGGGGGTTGATGTTTACAGCTTAACCAACTCAACAAGGGAGGCTGTTTCTGTTGGACATTTTCCCCTTCGCGATAAAAAAGATGCACAAAGTATCAATGATACATTGTAATTTAGTGAATCATACTCCTGGCCGAAATAAATTAGTGAATCTTTTGACTCCATTGGAAATGGATAATGTGTACTGCATCCTATCTAATTCTAAATCTTTCACTTCTTAGAATCTAAGGGTTCCATGTGAATGTTGAGGTATTTTTTGATGTGCTTTTGAGCTAGTATTGTGGATAACCTCATTGCTCTTGCTTTAAATTTCTTTTAACAATAACCATTGACAAAGTTGAAGCTAACTGTTTCAGAATTTCTATATTCTTCAGCTTAATAAGATGATTTTTTGCGTGTTCCTTTTCCTCGACCCCATCAAAAGTAGTATGTACCTTGTCATCCTTGAGATAGACCTGTAATATTCCAAATTCTAATACCATTCAAGTGTTCATAAGCCATAAAGCATCTTTTTCCTGGTGCAGGTGAGAAATATCCTAGATATAGGATGTGGATATGGTACCTTTGGAGCGCATCTGTTCTCAAAAGAGTTACTGACCATGTGTATTGCGCCTTATGAGGCTTCAGGTAGTCAAGTGCAACTCACACTTGAAAGAGGTCTTCCAGCGATGATTGGTTCCTTCAGTACAAAACAGTTGCCATTTCCATCTCTTTCTTATGACATGGTGCATTGTGCGCGGTGTGGCATTGACTGGGATCTGAAAGGTACCAAGTCTTTCTTATATGTTAGTATAAAATATGAAAATTACATGTTTCCATTTGACATTTTTCTAGGTGAAAACCTCTAGACTGCTCCCACCCAATTGGATCATTGTCATGCCTCCTTTACTATGTCTTGGAGGATAAAGTTTATTAAAAGAATATTGATAGAGGAAAGAAGTGTTGACATATTTGTTGTGGAATGTACATCATCTGTAAGAAACTGCCAAAGAAATATGACAATCAATAACTTTACCTTTTAGTGTGCAAATGACAACATGCCACAATTGTCAATGTTCTGCTGAAGATATTGATGGATGTATGCACCTGAATTCTCTTCTCAAGAATCGCCTTTCCTATTATTGTTTGATGGCTGGGGTTTCCTATCCTACTTCATATTTCTTATCAAAACTTAAATTTCTTCGTGGGAATCTGGTGTCTGGGATGCAGGGGCTATTACCACCCTCTCTATAAGAATGAGAACCTGCACTGCCAAAAGAGCCTTCAGAAAATAGATCCATGCTATCAGACTCTCCTAAAGGTCAATCTGTAATGTCTTAAGATTTTCTATAATGCTCGTTTCATTAGAGGTATAAGCAATCCAATTTTCTTGACTTGCTGGTACTTGCAAGGCAACTTAGATGCGAATTGTGGCAAAATGTTTTTATTTTGCTAGCTTGATGTCAAAGTTTGTTGATATATGATATAATCCAAATGATGCAGATGGCTTGTTCTTACTTGAGGCTGATAGAGTCTTAAGACCCGGTGGATACTTTGTCTGGACTTCGCCTCTTACCAATGCCCGTAATAAAGTGAATCAGAAGAGATGGGATCTTGTTCATGAATTTACAGTGAAGCTTTGTTGGGAATTGTTGTCCCAACAGGATGAAACTGTTGTGTGGAAGAAGACTGCCAAAAGGAATTGCTATTTTTCTAGGTCAGTTATTTACCTGTTTATAGACGATTATTCTTTTGCAGTTTCCTGGGTGATAGTCAGTGACATGTCATTGGAATGTTTATATTTCAGGAAACCTGGTTCAAGCCCGAGTGTATGTAGCAAGGGTCAAGATATTCAATCTCCATACTACCGTCCACTCCAAACTTGTATAGGAGGAGCTCATAGCAGTCGCTGGCTTCCCATTGAAGAGAAGTTAACTTGGCCATCTCGGGCAAAAATGAATGAAAAGGAGCTTCAACCTCACGGTAAGATATCTTGAGTTTGCGTTGTTTGATTAGTATTTCGATTTCATGTGATGGTTATTTGCAGCTTTTACCTTTATTTTTTGTATAATTAGCTGACACACTATTGACTCCTTAGGACTGCATCTAGAAGACTTGGCTGAAGATAGTTCAAATTGGAATTCTGCAATCCGTGATTATTGGACCCTTCTCTCCCCTATTATTTTCTCAGACCATCCAAAGAGACCCGGTGATGAGGATCCTTCTCCTCCTTACAATATGCTCAGAAATGTGCTAGACATGAATGCTCGCTTTGGTGGTTTTAATGCTGCTTTACTGGACACTGGAAAAGCTGTGTGGGTCATGAATGTTGTGCCTACAAGCGGTCCCAACTACCTGCCTTTGATTCTGGACCGGGGTTATGTTGGTGTATTACATGACTGGTAAGTATGAAAAATTACTCTCTTTCTTCCTCCCTTGTGAACCCTTGTGTCAATTTATGCTCTTGAGATTTCCCTACATTATCTACTGCAATATATAATTGCTAATGCCGCATATTGTCAGTGAATACTGTATTCCTCATTCTAGAAGGTGACATGGACATCTGATACCGCTGTTAATAGAACTGCATTTTTTTTTTCAAGCTGAATTTATAGCACTATAAAGAGATTTACAGTGCCTAGTTATACATAAAATGTACAAAAGGTATTGGACTATTGGCCATGTCAGTTTTCCAGCTTCGATATGTAATGAATTACACTACGTATGTTGAAAATGAAATGGGCAGCAAAACAAGAATTGGAGCAATATAATCTGTATCAGCTTTTTACTGTGTGGTTGGTGCATTAGAATTCTGGTCATTCGGTGCGTATAATGTGCAGAAAAAAGGCCTGTTTTGGGATAGAGTTGAAAGCCAAAATCCAAGTATGTCAGTTGAAGTACAAAAATGTACATGCTGATACATGTGATGATTGTTAGTATTCAGATACATGTGATTTTTAGTATTAAGATGCAACTTATCAAGAAAAATGTAGAGACTAGCACTTGCACCGTATTGTTGATAACCTTAGGTTTTGTATCTAACTCTGCTTTGGCTTAGGATATAGTGTAACCTTTGCTGATGAATGTGTGATTCCTACTTGTGTAGGTGTGAAGCATTTCCAACATACCCTCGAACTTACGACTTGGTGCATGCTGATGGTTTTCTCTCTCTAGAAAAAGGTTCCCAACGCAGATGTAATACTCTCGATATATTTGTTGAGATTGATAGAATTCTTCGGCCTGAGGTATCTAAATTAGTTTTATTCATCAGTTTTCATTTCAAAGTAAAAGAGTTCTAGTCAATTTTTTATCTCACATTTTATTGAAGCAGCTGACATAAGAGTGTTGGCTCAGGGATGGGTGATTTTCCGAGACAAATCTAATCTAATCGAGTCCATGAGACCCCTTATAGCACGACTGAAATGGGAAGCTCGTGTTATTGAAATCGAGAGCAACAATGATGAGAAACTCCTCGTCTGCCAGAAGTCTTTCTTCAAGAGGCACGCAAAGTGATCTACGACTACAGCCTTTAAGGTAGCTACCTGTGATTAAAGATTGATTTATTTATACCACGACACAAGTCAATAGAGAAAATCAAAGTCTACAGATTTTTGGAACAGAAGAGAAGTTCAGTATACGATATATTTTCTTTTTTAGTTGAAGCCAGCGACAAAATTCCTATGAAGCCGTAAGGCAACCATAGGGCCCCTGTAATTACGCGATTGAGGCACAGCAAGAGTGATTGTCAAGTATAGAATGAATCAGTGTATTCAGTACTCTTTTGTCTCGGTTTTAAGTTTTACGATGTCTAGCAGAATAAGCAAAGAGCGTCTGCTGCAGTATATACGATGCTGGGGTGGCAATTTTCAGTCATTTTTTTTTCCTACCACCTACCTTACTAAATCCATCTATATTCATTGTAGAAAGCTCAATTAAGAAGGCATTCATTAGTAATGCAAGTCTTGTAACACAAAAGTTGGGTACTTATTGAATGGTATATTTTCAAGAATCATTAAACCTCACTATGAATTTATTGGTCAACAACTGATAGACATGCTTTTGATTCATCAACTAGTTTAAAATGAGATGTACATACTACATAGTACACAAAATATGAAGCCAAAGGCCATGTTGATGTGACATTATTTGAGAATGCACATTTTTATCAATTTATTACGGCCTACCAAACTAGTTTGTCTGTGAACGAGCTTAGAAATTATATCTACCTTGCGAGTATTTGAAATATATTTTCATCGTGTATGTGAAGTTTGAAATGTAGGTAGACGTAGCTATCTCCGAGATGCATTTGCACATGCGTAACGCCATAGTAGTAATATTAGTGAATAAGACCTTCATAGCATGTGTATTAGTGTACATCATAAAAATGAAATAGGCACCTCCATTGAATATATAGGTTAGTACACACAACTCTTAATTCTATGATGTAAACATGTTTCACTTGAATGTCTCCAACTATCTGATAGGAATATTCTTAAATGTAAAAAAAACTTTAGTTAGAAAATCCAAAATCATAAGCATTTTAAATCTGTTAGCTGTATCTTTCATTCTATCAAGACTTATCTCTAGAAATAGGTGGGTTGTACAATCATGTCTATTTATAAATGTCCCTCTTTTGTGGAGTAACTTCAAAAAGTTACATTGTCTTTACTTTTAGAAAAGAAATTCTGTTTTTGTAGGACCTGATATAATACAAGCAGAAGTCATTATCTGAAGTGATTTGTGGCCAAAAAAACAATTAATGTGGATCAAGCATGCATGTACATTAATAACTGAAATGTGTATATCAATCAAAATACTATTAGATCACAAGCAATTTTTTTGTAAACGCGAAAATAATGTATGTGTTGAAAAGTAAAAGAGTTAACAGCTATAAATCAAAGCATATATTACACCTTGTTTAGATAACAAATTACAAATTAGTAGGGAAAGAGGAGGGAAGGGGTGGAGGGAAAGGCGGAACTCTTTTGCTCCTTTATATCTCTTTGATTTCAAAGGGATGGTGTTTATTCAATAGCATGATAATGTTAATTAAAGAGGAATGTATATCTTCAGAGTTTGAACCAAAACGTAAAAGTCATCAAAGTTTAATGAATGGGTGATTGTAAAATGTATATAAAGGTTTTTCTTGACCTATTGTCCTCAAAGAATCAAAGTTTTTAATTAGTAATGATCTCATAATTGATCTTGGGCATTAAGTACATTCTTATTTAGGACTTGTTCTCTTCAGATTAATTTTAGTTCAGCTCAGTTTAATTTAGTTCACTTCAATTCCTAATTTTCTTCTCTTATAAACAATTCAGTTAAATTTAATTCAACTCAGTTTAGTAAATCAGAATAGATCCTTCGTATTGTAAATGAATAACAGCAAAGTTGAAGCCCAAAGTATAAGGGTGGCCCAGCACATTAATGGGTTATAAATACGACCCATTCAAACATTTTGGTCCTAAATTCCTAAATGGTAAACCGTTGAAAATCCATTTGCAGTTGCTACTTGCTAGTACCATAAATTAGTAGTGGCTCTAGTGGGAGTTTGAAAATATGGGGCATACAAAATTGGCAACCATTGGAGCATTCCCATTCTTAACAAAAGACAACAGTTTCTCTTTCTCCTAGTAATATGCAGTTATTAAATTTTCATCTACCCACCGTTCTAAAAATAAGCCTTACCGAAAGTGGAAGATAGGATCATCAGTAGGGAAGTCATCAATAGATCAAACACATTTCATATTAGTTTCTTAGTTTCTTTTGGGCCCTTATTTTACCTTTGCTGGTTTTAGGTTAGATACGTTCTGATAATGATTAATAAAGATTATATAAGTTCTGAATAGTAAAACTTAGGTCAATAGAATATTAGGTGAATTAAGGTTGTGTTCTATTCACCTAATTTTTACTTATTATCTGAAATTATTACATTTTTATTAAAACTTTGACCCCGTTCTCTTCACCTTATTTTTGCTGAACTGAAATTATTTTTGCTGAACTAAAAATATTTTTACTGAATTGCTATTATATTTCTTTTTAAGTTTACTGATTTTTACAGAACTGGAATTATTTTTACTGAACCGAAATTATTTTTGCTAAACTAAACTTATTTTTACTGAATTGAAATTAATTTTACTGAACAGAAATTATTTTTACTGAATATTTTTTTTTTAAAAGGTGAAGTGAACAAGGTCTTACTTTTAATGTAATTTATATTAAGGTATATCAACCATCATCATAACTTATTTTTCTTTAACCTATCTTATTTGAATTCATTTGAACTTATGAAATTTGAAATAAGTAAAAATAAGGTTAACAAAATGGGATTTGTTAAACGTCGCCCGCAAATCTCCACATAAAGCCCACAAATATTTTTACTTTGACTCTTTTGCCCTTTTTCTAATTTTTACCGAAACCGTAATTCACTCTAACGAAGAATGTGGAGCTGGAGTGGATCGTCGAGGGACACCGAAGAGCCGTCATCGTCGCCGGAAAGCGAGATAATCCGGGGGAAAAATTACGAAAAGTAGGGGTGGCGACGCCGCCACCATGGCTGTGGCGTCCTGGCCAGACGCCGCCACCATGGCTGTGGCGTCCTGGCCAGACGCCGCCACCATGGCTGTGGCGTCCTGGCCAGACGCCGCCACCATGGCTGTGGCGTCCTGGCCAGACGCCGCCACCATGGCTGTGGCGTCCTGGCCAGACGCCGCCACCATGGCTGTGGCGTCCTGGCCAGACGCCACCCCTACTTTTTGTATTTTTTTTTTTTTTGTAATTTGTTAATTTTTTATTTATTTTTTTTTTCTTTTTTTTTTTGTAATTTTATTTAAACTTTTTGTAATTTTTTTTAAATTTTATTTAAAGTTTTTGTTTTTTTTTTAATTAAACATTAACACAAAAAATTAAACATTAACACAGAAAATTCAGATTTTAAAAAAAATATGTACATTAGAAATAAAAACATTAACACATAAAACAAAAATATTAAACATTAACAAAAGAATTCTGATTTTCCAAAAAAAAAAAATATTAGACAAAAAAAAAAAAAGTGGTAGGGCGCCTGGCCAGGACGCCCAGCCCCTGGTGGTGGCGTCTGCTCTGGCCGCCGGGACCAGGGGGCTGGCGTCTAACCTGGACGCCCAGCCACGGCGGTGGCGCCTCTGGAAAACGCCACAACCGTGGCTAGGCGTCCAGGTCAGACGCCAGCCCCCTGGTTCCGGCGGCCGGAGCAGACGCCACCACCAGGGGCTGGGCGTCCTGGCCAGGCGCCCCACCTCTTCTGGTTTTTTTTTAAAAAAAATTTTTTTTTAAAAAAACCCTGCCACCGTGAGCCGTCCTTCCCTCAGCCGCTGTGGCCGCCAAGTCCTTGCCTTGCCGCCTCAACATTGCCGTATTTTCGGGTGATTAGAGTGTGGGTATGGGTTAGATTTTTTTATTTTAGGTTTAGGGAAATAAGGTAAATTCAATATAGATTTGTGGGCTTTATGTGGAGATTTGCGGGCGATGTTTAGCAATCCACTAACAAAATAGACCCTTAGTATTATTTGCTTTTAGTTTATATGCTTAAATCCTACATTAGCATAGTTATTTGCCTAGTTTTAATTAAATATGCATGACGACAAACTTCATTATTTGAAAGTTTAGCACCTCTAAACACATAAAATATTATTACTACCTCCGTTACAGGTTATGTGCAACGATTTAACATAAAGTAGAGAGGAAAAATGTCTAATTGTTGCACATAACCTGTAACGGAGGTAGTACATCACATATGAATGTCCCACATCAACAAAAGAAGAATTTAATTTTACGAGGGTAATGAGACCACTTCTTATTCATCATTTTGTTTTTAAAATGTATTTTCCTCTGGTTTAGATGAATACAACACTCATTTGGGTGAATGTGTTCCATTGTTGTATCTAACAATGTATCAGAGCCCTTCACTTCATTAATTTGAGAGAATTCCATCTGAATGAAATTTGTACATAATAAATAAGTTAGTAACAACTAAAAAAATAATTAATACACAGTCTTTCAAAAAATAAAAAATAAAAAATTATAGTAATAATAATTAATACACCGTGTAAGGATGTAACATGCAATTTTTTTTATATTTTTTTACACAAAACATGCAATGTTAAGAGGGAAAAATTAAATAAAAAAAAAAAAAGTTTTTTTATAAAAAGTATATGTCCATTTTAATTAAAAAAAAAATAGTTAAAAAAATTATGCCCAACACACAAACACCTGAACACGGTTATAATAATTTTCAATTAGCAAATAATCAACATCCGACCTTAGCTCAGTTGGCAGAGCGGAAGACTGTAGTAGTTGCAGATAATCTTTAGGTCGCTGGTTCGATTCCGGCAGGTCGGATTTTTTTTATTTATTTTTTTTCCATTTTTAATTTTCTCTCTCCTCTTTCCTCTTACAACTTCCCCTCTTAAACCCCAAATTCCTGAATCATCTTCTCCAAAACCCCGTCAATGGCTTTCCACTACCTCTTCACCACCATAACCAAACACTCTCTTAAACCCTACTTTCTCTCCAAAACCCCCATTTTCTCTCTCCTCCAAACCTCCCTATTTTCCACCTCCTTTTTAATCACAAAAACCCCAAAAAAATTCAAGAAAAAACGCCAAAAACCCAGTCCCAGAAATACCCTTGTTCAACACCCTTCTTCCTTAATTACCCACTTCGAAAATCTCGTCAATCGCGATAATTTCTTCCGATTTCTCACCCGATCAAAGCAATTTCTCGCGAAACAACCCGAGCATATTCTCCGGTTAGATGACGCCGGAAAACTTTACCGGCAACTGGGTTTTCCCCGGGGAAGAAAGGTTAACAAGTTCGTCGATAATCACCCGCGTATTTTCGAAATTTACCGTCACGAAAATAACAAAATGTGGCTAGGTTTTACTGAATTTATGGAGAATTTACTGCAGGAGGAGGTTAAGATTATGGAGAGTATGGAATTAGAGAGGGTAAAAGTTGTTAAGAAGCTTCTAATGATGTCAAAAGATAAGAAAATGGCGTTAAGTAAGATTTATCATTGTAGGTTGATATTTGGTGTTCCTGAGGATTTTAGGGATTGGATCTTGAAATTTTCCGATGATTTTCGTGTCGTAATTGGGGATGATGGGAGTCGAATGCTTGAACTAGTGAAGTGGGATCCGGCATTGGCCTTGAGCGCGTTAGAGAGGGAGTTTATGGTTGATGAGGAGAAGGTGAAGAAGGCATTTAAGTTTCCTGTGAAACATGGGAAGGAATTGGACTTGGAGGATGATGATGTGAGGAGGTTGAATTTGTTGAATACATTGCCTTTGGTTTCGCCGTATTCTGATGGGTGGAAGCACGAGCTTTCGAGTTTGGAGGCTGAGAAGTATAGGGTTGGGGTTATACACGAGTTTTTGAGCTTGACATTGGAGAAGAAGGCTTCAATTCATCATATAGTTGAGTTTAAGGAGGAGTTTAGTCTTACTAAGCATACTTATCAGATGCTTAAGAAGCAGCCTAGGACGTTTTATTTAGCTGGTACTGAGATGAATTGGGTTGTTTTCTTGAAGGATGGGTATGATGAGAATGGGAATTTGATTCAGAAAGATCCTCAGGTTGTGTTTAATGAGAGGTTATATAGGTTTGCTCAAATGCAGTATCCTGGTGAATTGTGTCGCGACAGTATCAGTGAATGATGGTGACGAAAATATGCTTGATCAAGCAAGAAAGATGGGGTAATTAGATGCTCTTAGATAATTTTGGTTGTCAATACCCTTGTGTTATGCATTTGTATACTTCATGAGTCATTACTACTGTCTTAGAAAGGTCTGATGAAAATTTAGTTACCAACAATGATCTTTGCCTCTTTGGCCTGTAGTTTTCTGACATAAAATACAGTAGATTTAATGTGGCTAGTCTCAGTGTTAGTATCTCTGTATTGTTTCAACTCAATCCTCAAAGATGAGTTCTTTAATCTCTAATTTTCTGCTTGTTTCTGAACTTGCTGTCTAATATATTTTTGAACTGTCCAAACTATGTGTGTATGCAATTGCTTGGTATAACATAATAACATTGTGTAAGGAACACCTGATTTTAGATGATCTTTATATTTGACAGCTCAAATAGATCGAGTTAGTATTTAGACAGAATTTTCCATCTATCACTAACTTCTTTGGGTCATATTTGAGATGAATTATTATGTGCAGGTTTTCATATTTCACAAAAAAAAAAAATGCTGCTAAATGAAAAAAGTCAGATGGTTTTCCACGCAATGAGGTTTTCGTAGACTGAAACACCTCCCACTCCATTAGACATGTTATACAGTGCAGTCATCCAGAAAAATGCCAGGGTTCTATTATTAATTTATTTTGAAGAAATGAAGACAAACAATGATACAAAACCAACAGCAAGGAATATACTTTGAACTCAAGTTTATACATTTTATTGCCTGCTTCCTTGCTGAAGAGTTGCAATGACGCGTTATGATCATCTTCAATTAACTGATTACAGTCCTCGTCTTCAGCCTCGACTGCTGGTTTGCTTGCCTTTTCGCCTTGTTCCTGCTTCTCTGCCCAACACTCGTACTGCTCCTGCCAGTGCTAGATGACATCAATCCACTCTGACTACTCTTTTTCACGGACTTCCTGCAAGCATTCCAGTTATTGTTTCGAGATGAAGATTTGGCAATAATATCCATTGATACCTCTCGAGCCTTCTGTGGATTAATGGGTTGCTTGTTTAGGTATGCCAACTTAGGGAGAAGTCCGCAAACAGCTCTCCTAAGCTGGTCACTGCTTAGGTTGCTGTGAATCGGGTTCCCCAAAATACTGAGTGCCACTAAAGAATTGTAGTTGGCAACAAGCTGTCCTAGAGCCTTGGTTGTGGTTATTTTATTGAAGCTAAGGTCCAGAACGGTAAGCTTCAATAGCCTGTGCAGCCCCTCAACTTCACTGATTTTATTGCCTGCTAAATACAATTCCTTGAGCAATATGCAACTTGAGAGTCCTGTGGTTAATATAATAAACAATGTGAATATATATTTCAAACTATGTGCAGGTAATTACCAATCCAAAATTTGAAGCAAACGATCAATACTACCATGACCAATACGAGAGATCCTGTTGTAACTCAGATCGAGTACCCTCAGTCGAGTTAACTCTCTTAATCCTTCAATGGTAGTGATCCTGTTCCTGGATAAATCGAGGACATGAAGGCCCTTTGGAAGTGATCCTTGAGTAATTTGAGCTGCAAGATAAACCAGAATAATGAAAAAAAATATGTTGTCAGAAACTCAGGGCGTTTTATCATTAAATCATTTATGCCTGGATTATACTGCAGAAAATCAGAAATGCTTCTTGTCTCAAACAAGATTTTGATTCAAGTTCATACCAATTGAGTTGTTCGATAGATTGATTGAACGAAGACTTGAGAAGTGTGATATGATGGGGATAACTTTCAACCCCATCCCTGATACATGAGCCACAGTTGAAGACGAATTCAGAGACTGAATCACACTGTTGGCATGCTGGAGTTCCTCAGATAAGTTGCTTTTGGTATGTCGGGAGGAATGAGTTGGATATTTTGCCATTGACTCATCGGCCTTAGGAGAAGATGGGAAGACAATTTGTTCATCACCATTCTCTTCTTCAACGACCGGGGTTGTTGGCTGAAACTCTAGGTCTTTCACCCAGTCATCTACCCTCTTTAACGAAGATGATGACTCCCCTGAGAAAGCAATCCACTGATTCTGAGGCCATAGCCCTGAAAATCCACCCTTCAATCCATTTTCTTCTTCGTGGCTACTCTTGTAACTGCATAATTCAGAAAATGAGCCTGCTGATTCCACCTTGCAGAGCTGCTTTGCTCGATATGGTTCGAGTGTGTCAGATGAGTATCCACCTTGCTGATTGACAGTAGCAAGAAGGGACGACATTCTTGATTTAGAAGCAATTGCTGGTTTCTGCAAATTCCTGTGGCTCCAAAGGAAGAGCTTCCACCACATTCTCTTGCTCCTCGAGGGAAGGATCTGACTCGAAGAGTGCTTCTTCAGCATCACCTTATCAGCACTGCAGTGAGTACGAGCCGATGACTGGCTGCAAGGAGATCTCATCAAAAGATCACCCCTTACTCTATTTGCAAGTTCCTGTAACTGCTCAAATGACTGTGTTTTGGAGGGTGGCAATTGATCAGCTATCCTCTTCAGCACTTCCCTCGAGTCAAGATTCGAGCAAGAACGTGTAAGTTTCGGTGAAGCCCATCGCTCTTCCCTTGCCATTCCCGGATCACTGACATGCCCACCTTGGCCTATCTCAACCTCCTCATCATTAGTACCCTGCTCAGCACAAGGACTTCCAATCTGAAAACTCGGGTTACTCGAATCAATGTCGCGGCCTTCAAGATTTGAGTCAGAGTTCTCCCTACTCATTGGTGACTTTTCGTCATGTTCATGTTCATCTTCACCTTCATATGCCACCTCTACAGCCTCCTCCTCCTGACCCTTCTCAACAGGGTTCATCACCTTCACCTCACATCTCGAAATCTCAGTGACATCGAATGGCACCGGAACACTAAACGACGTCGATTTCAGCTCTTCCTCATGCTCAGAAGGCTTCACTGGGTGCTCCACCTTCACTTGTAAGGTTCTGTTCTCATTAACATTCTTACATTCTGATGAAGAAACAATTGCATCCTGCACAAAATACATCATTTCATCATCAAAATTCAAATTCACAAACCCCCCCAAAAAAAAACATTTCAATTACCAAATCAAATGAATTATTACCTTCACCTTCTTCTTCCTTCCAACTAACTTGGAAAAACAATGGAATAATGCCATACTTTCTGGGTATCTAAATTCAGAAAAAAGATTTCCAAAAAAAAAAAATTGGGAAAAATAAAACTTCCAAAAAAAATTTGTTGGATTGTACGGAGAATTTGACTTTGTTGTACCTCAATGAGTTCACCAAAAATTAAAGATTTACATCTCAACTGCTTTAAAAATTAAAGAACAAAAACAAAGAAAAAGATTAGTTAGGTTGGATATTAGCCATAATCAATGGGTAAGCGCCAAACCAATGATTTGCAAACAAATGAAAAGCAAATTTCATCAAAGATTTGCGCGCAGCACACCCTCCACTGAGGAGAGATCACTAATATCTTGGCCAGAGTGTTTTTATGCGCACCAGTCTATCTTCTGTAAGTTCCTCACTGTTTCAATAAACAAATCAAATAACACAAATTTAGATATCATAATCACAACATATCGGATACTCGAACACTCGTACTTAACGTACCCGTGTTCGGTATCCATCACTTCAAGTCGAGTCCGAGTAACATAGATTATAATTTGGATAAAGAAGAGTAGAACGAATCACAATATATGAATGTGTAAAGCACTTTAAAAAGTGCCCGACAAGAAAATAAAGAAGGGATACAAAATTATCAACTTTTTTGACAACTAAATAAAACACTACACAATCAATATCTCCCACCATGAATACAGTTTTCCATTAAGAAAGCTTAATTGTCGGAGAAAATGACATCAACTATAACCAAAAAAAAATCACTACACTAAACAAAATGCAATTCTTAAAAAGGGTTATAATCAAATTAAATCCAAGATTATACGATGAACTGGGTTTTATTTATTTTTTTTAATTTTGTTTATACCTGTGAAAGTGAAGAACTCGAAGAAAGAGCGGCGATGAAAGAGAGGAGGGAAAAAGAGAGAAGATATTCGTTACGACTGAGGAAGGTATAGTAGATTAGTAGTAGTAGAAGTACTACGGAACCTCCAAGTGTAAATATTGTAGGAGAGAGAAAGTGGGGCCCAAAAGGTGGGTATTTTGTGATGGGTATTTTGGGCCTGGTTGGGCTGGAAAGATGTTGGTTGTGTTTGTGTTGTGTACAAGTTCTAGAAATTATTAGAGAATATATATGTAACACGACTCTTACGCGCATCATTTATTTTATTGTTTTTATGCTATGCCATTATTCTTGTAGTGTGGTCTATTATTAAGTCAGTCTTATCTATCTTATAATTTTATGAATAATGGTACTAGATATTCAACGAATATAAAATTAAAAAAAATAATTCAATGAATATTGTTTTATGTGCAAAAAATGTGTAGAAGGAAGAACAGATGTGAGATGAGTATACATGGCAAATTGGCAATTATTAGGTTGGAATTAGTTTATTGCCATTTGTTCATTGTTATTTGACAAAAGGATGAATAAATACACATATATTTTGGGTCCACTTTTTCTAATAACTAATACAATTCAGGTGAAATCAATGGCTTTCTTGTTTTATTACTCCGTATAATTAATATCCAATTAGGGACTGTTTACTTCAATTTAATTTTATTCAGTTTAGTTCCATTCAGCTCCAATCAGTTCAGTTCAATTCAGTTCAGCTCCTAATTTCCTTCTCTTATAAAATATTCATTTCAGCACAATTCAGTTCAATCCAGTACAGCTCGGCTCAATTCAGTAAATGTGAACAGACCCTTAGTCATATTATTATATGTTAGTCGGGCTTACCGATCTTCGATTATTTTCCAATTCATTGTTGGATTCTATAGGGATTGTGTAGATAAATTTTGATCAAATTTATCAATTTTAATACTTTAACTAACTAAACTAATTGACATGCATATTATTTGTTAAGTGAAAAAAATTTGATAATAATATTAAAAAAATCTAGCCAGTGATAAACCTCTTTTTTTTCTATATTTTTTTACAACGGATAAAAAAAAACAAAAAAAAAAAAAAAAAAAAAAAAAAAAAAAAAAAAAAAACTACAAATTACTACTAAAGCAAATGTAGCACAGCTTTACTAGCAATTTGATGATGCATTGATGATCTACTTTGTGAATACTACATATTAGAAACACAAGCCAATGTTGTCTTGTCCATTTCTTTTAAGAAGAGTAATAAGGGATAGGAATATGTAAACACTATGAGTGACTAATGACTATTAATAAGTAATTTAATTCTAAGCAAAAGAGATAGGAATCTGTAAACACTATGGATCTAACTAACGGAAATAATAACTAAAACTGTTAAGTGGTAGTGAAATTTAAATTATGTGATTTTAGATGGTAGCAAAATAAAATAAGTTTTTAATGGGTAGTAAAAGTGAAACCGGGGTGTTTAAGTGGTAACAAAAGTAAAATTTTCCTTAAGATAACATAGACCCTCCCGTCCAAAAAAAAAAATACAGACC